AGCAGCTTGGCAAGCTTTATGACGCGTTTGCATTGTGACATCACAAGTCAAGGAAGTGAAGGGCTGGACTACAAACGAGCTGCTTTCAAGCGGTTCAGAGCATGTTTTCTGTGGGAGATGGGAACTCCCTTTGGGCTGGACTTGGGCTTTTTCACTTTGAAAACCTGTACATGCACAAAAAGATATATAACTCAATAAAGGAGAGGGAAAAAGCCAAAAAGCATACTTAAATGACTTGAACCTTTTTTGAGCCTGCGAAAGGATCTGGCCCATTCACATGCTTGCTGTGTGGCTTGGCTGTTACCATTGGGTACACAGTGTGAGCATCTTTGGAGCAGATTGTGCTGACGTAGACTGCCCTCTTAACGGGATGTGTCGGGGAGGGTGGGAGGTGCGGATTGTTGGTGTGATAGTGTGGACTAGTGGCATGGCCTGTCACAAGATTTTATTATTTTATGGTACTGTGAGTTTTGATTGAGTGAAGGTCAGTGCAGATGTTAATTAAATCAGTCACGGCTTACTTCTCTCCTCAGACTGTGCAGTCTCTTTTGAGTTGCTGGGTTATTTGCAGGTGAGCCAATGCTTTCACAGCCTTTTAGTTAGGGGAACTATTAGGTGTCAGCTGGCCAGTACTTGCTCCCCAACTGACAGAGTGAGATCATGAGGAGGTGTAAATCTGCAAACTATTTGCATGATAATTTTATTCACAGGCAGACTAAAAGCAGTGTGTTGTTACTGTTTTGTCTCCACGTAATAGAGGACTACACAGTGAAAAATGTGTTTAAAATGTGCCCCATTTGTAAGATGCAACAGTTAAAAGCTTCAGTTTCAATGCAACCTGCTCGCTCTGTTTAACTTAACTATTTGTTTCCTCAACTGTGCTTGTTGGTTTTTGTCTGAAGAACATATACCCACACACAGTATCATTGTATCTTACCATCTGCTGTTTCTCATTGAGAAGCGAGTCAATACAGGTCAATAACACCCACCCATTAGTCCTAATACATTCAGGTTTTAAGCCAGTGGCTTTTGGCCCAGATCTCAACTGCTGAACTTGGCGATAAATCAGAGAACACTGAGCACCATCCAGCCTTTTTGCTGCTTTGGTCCATCAAGAGCTGAAACAATAATCTACACGTTAGAGTAGCAGACACTTTATTCTTTAGATTAACCTGTCTGTTAATTTGCACCCTGTCTTGAGAGTTGATCTCTTATTACACTTATGTGCAAAGATCCACAGCTGGTATCTGTGATGCCGAAGATGTTATGCACATTTAAAAAACACATGCAAAATACTGTATGCTACATAGGCTCTGTACAGCATACGGTATGGGGAGTCAAGCCACTGGGCATTTTATTTTCATTACATTTTCTCTGTATCCATCTCTGGGGTCTACTAGTAAATTCTACAGCCAACCAGAGTGCAGTATCGGTTCAGTTTGTTTTTGTTTGTGACGTAAACAGTGTTTTTGATGAGACTGTGCCATCTGGCAGATTTTCTATTTTATCTCTGTAGCACATAATCTCACATTTTCACTTAAGCCTCATTTTGACAAGATTGGGGGACTTG